AATCGTCAATGGCCCACCCCGCCTTACGAGGAACGGGACTGGATGAACCCGACATCTTCCACTTTTCTGACAGAGTCAACATTCAAATGATTTCCTTGCGGAGGTCATTTCTTATTCTCCTTTCCTCTCGCTTTTTGAAACTTGCATTTTCGGAAAACTAAAAGAAGAGAAAACGAGGTCATAATGCGCATTACCGGCTATCTCACCGAGCACGGCGTACTGGGTCTGGTGTCTACCCTGTTCAACTTTTATCGGAGGAGTTCTTCTGTCTTATATCTGTCTTCTTCTTTGATTTCCCCTTCTGTTCCGCATATTGTATGCTTTTATCGCTTGGTTGGCATCGGGCTGCCCTGGACTTGGGTTTTTCACTGGTTCTTTTCGTTCTCATACCCCCAAAGGCCTTTTATAGACGGCGGGCCTCGCAACTTCGGCATATCTTGTTTGTCTTCTGATCTTTCCTTTGCTATCTATATTTCGTGGCATCTGCTCCCTTGCTCTTTGATATACCCTGATACCGAACGCGCGAGTCGCGAGATCTACCATCACTTCCTATATATACACATATCCTCCCATCAATCCTTGCCTCCTAGCATTCAGCTCTTTCCTTTGTCCATCACTCTTTACCTTTATCCCGTGTATATTCTATGGCATATAAATCGTCGCCTGTCATTCTTTTCTGTTGCGCCTGGGGGAGGTGTTACGACTCGTTTCGTCGAGCGAACCTTCCATTTTCTTCACTGTACAATTTTGTTCCCGCCATTCGTTGAGTACGACGACGGTAGTCGAAGGCCAAAGATCCTGTAATATAGTACCCATTTATCGGCTGCAAGCCCTACCTTTATATATATACATACACACACCTAATGCAACAGACAATGAAATTTCTGTGCTCATGTTGATCCTTCAGACGGAATAACTGTCTACTAAAACATGTTCTCAGGGTCAGGGTAGACTATTTCAATGCAATATTGAGACCAAATAGAGACAGGTACGGAGTAGGTGTAGGAGACTCTGTCGGAACAACAATTATCCATACTTCATCAGAATTTCCCGAAACAGTACTGCAGATATCATGGCCATCAATTCTTCTATTATTGTTTTGCATGAGACTTTCTGCGCCTATTCCTCCTATGGATCTGTTTTATTGATATCTCCTCATAGCCGACAATCCCATTCGCGGCCCCACTGCAGCAGCCATTGAAGTCCGGAATAGCTGAATCTCGATTGCGTCCTTCTTCAGACAGCAAGCTCGATACGCTTTTTACAGTCACTCAAGAAAACAGATAGCCAGTCCTCATCGCATCGCTTGGGTTGACAATTCTCGCTGAAAATTAATAACCCAGCATGTCGGCCCAACGACAAGCTTCGTCTGCCTCACAGACACCACACCTATCACCAGCAGAACTTTCCTACCTCTACACCTCCCTTGCGCTTCCCGACAGTCCCATTCGACCAGACGGACGCTCACCCACACAGTTCCGGCCCTTAACAGCAGAAACCGATATTCTCCCAGGCACCAATGGCAGCGCGCGGGTCGGATTCGCAGACGGCACGCAAGCCATCGTCGGAGTGAAGGCGGATGTCGAAAAAACGGCCCTGGCGGCAGAGGCCCTGAAGGTCTCGCAGTCGTCATCGGGGGATGATTACGCGGCCGATCAAGGCGCGGACGGCAAGGAGGGCATGAGTGCAGCGGGCGGGCACGAATCGTGGGTGCAGATCTCCATTGAGATTCCCGGTTTTCGGGACGACGATGCCTTGCCTGTTTTTCTGTCGGAGATGATGCGGGAGCCGCTGATCGAGTCTGTGTCGAACGGGCAGGGAGGCGATGTGGGGATGGCTGGCGGTCTGAAGGGGAGGCTGGTCATTAACCGCCGCTGGCATTGGAGGTTGTATATTGATGTAAGGGACCTTGCTGGGCCCGTACATGTGGCCTTGGCCGTGCGTTACCCGGTGCTTTGTCGTGCTGATTTTTGGTCTCTTCACTATAGGTTTTGCTGCTCTCGCAGCCTCTATCGTACCCGCTTCCTTTACTCTCTCTGACGACGCACCTGGCGCTTTTGTCGACGAGACTGCCCAAACTGAAATCCAAGGGCGAAGAGGACCCGTTCTTCGACGATGATTGGAATGCGGCCGAATATCTCTACCCTGGCCAGAGTTCTGGGAAAGCTGCTACACCCTCACCTTCGCAATTTGTTCGGCCTCCAGTGACGCTGCTGGTCATCTCCGTGGCTGATAACATCATCTTCGATCCCAGCAGGGAGGAGATTGCCGTTGCAGATACCGTCTTGGCCCTTTCGGTCAGCCGCGACGGGGAGACTGGTAGCCTGAAATTACTTTCTATGAGGACAATTGACCCTCCATCCCGTCTGACACAGCCGGGCGTGCCGAACTCGGAGAATGTCGCTACGATAGGGTCTTCCGCAGCTGCAGAGGATGCTACTATCCTGAGCCCTTCCACCGGCGAGGAGGAAGTTCCTGGAGTCTGGAGACCTCGACGTGGTGGAGTTAAAAGAAGTACGATCGCGCGCATGGTGAAAGCAGTGCTGGAGAAGGGTGGTGTTGGTGAGGATGTATTAGAGGGACTCGAGGGAGTTTCCGTGGGTTGAGTCGATCATGCAGTTTGAATCGAAGAGAAGCTCTACGAAGCTGCCCTCTCCGGGCTCAATGTGTATCAGTTGTCTGATTCACGTAAGCGGCCGCGCTCATTCGCTGCAGGTAAAGCGAAAACAGACAGGCCTGCTGTGGGGGACAAAGGAGTCTGTCGCTTTAAATAGAGACTGATATGCCAGGTCTATGCCGGTTCTCTGGATGCGAAACAGACGTGATGACCAGGAGATATATCATGACATGTACACATAGAACAATGCACGGCTAGAGACAAGGTCAAAAGGAAGCATCATAGCAATTTAATATACAGCGCTGATCCGGGTTCCTAACCCACCGAACTCATTCTCCATCCATCCAAGAACATCCTACCAGATACCAAGCCACTTCTTGACAGGCTTCTTCGTCCCTTCCCAGTCAACGTATTCTCCTGCGCTAACAGCAGGAACATCGACCGCGACCGGCGACTGATCATCAACCACCTCCGCAGCCTCTCCCTTGGTCTTCTCATCCGGCTCTTCCAACCCATGCGCAATCCGATACTGCCGCCTCTTCTCCGCATCCTCGACACGCTTGAGGCGCTTCTCCCTCGTCTCCATCGAGTTATGCTGTACATGCATGCGGAAGACGGTGAGCGCCTGTCCGATCGTGTCGATCGGATGAGTCAAAAGCGCAGACCACGGCGGCAGCAAGTGCGCGTACGGCGAGGTATGCTTGAAGTTCGTAGTGAAGGTGAACGTAGCCAGGGAGGTGAGGACGCCCTAAACATGCCACAGACGCATCAGCCATTGTTTCCAACCAACGTAGAGTAAGGGGAAAAACCAACCATAGCAATCCAGATATGGATCCACCGGCTCGTCAGAAACTTGTACATGATCGTCCCCTCGGGCGGAAACATATTCGGGTACTTTCTGTGTTTCTGCTCCTCCTTCTCTTTCTCTGAGAGTCGTGGGCCGGGGTAGTTGATCGGTCCGCTGACCACCCTGCCATTGCGGGTCGGCACCACCCGGCGCGCGGGGTGCGAGGGTGGTCGGAACTTGTCTGGTTGGGCGAGCACGCGCGGTTTGCTGCTGTTGTCTGATGAAGCGCAACGGCGCGAGGAGGGGACTGTGGTTGCGAGGGTGCTCGGGTTGCGGCGGCGGGTTAAGGCGTGCAAGGTTCGGGGGGAGGGTATCCCGCGAGGGAGGAGGAATTGGGGGATTGTTATGGGTGCCATTGTATATTACAGGCGTAGTAGACGTTTTAAGGAGGGTATGTTGTGGAGAGGCGCATATACTCTGTGCTTTTGTCCGCTACATTTCCGACCTTTTTTTTTTCAGTCAGCGATGTTGATATTGATATCACGTGACCAAGACAGCAGTTTCTGCTTCATGCCATGACAGTGCTATCTGATGTTCCGGTACTAATATGTTTACTTTAGGTCGGGTGGAGATAGAATTACAGAAAAGTGCATTATGTTCGGCATATATCGATCCAGATCGCCCTGGATGTGTTGAGTCTGAATGGAAACGGCCTTCAGTTCAAAGGCCGGTCATGCCTTGACGCCTCAGATTTCAGGCCGTCAACGTGTCGGACCACCAAAGCCGGCGGAGCGGAATTGTTTTTCTGAAAGAATTCGGGTCCGCGATCTAGCGGACAAATGACGACGCTGCCATTTCCAACGCTCAGGGACTGGTTCCGGCTGCTGCAGTGATGCAGAACCGGTATGTTGGCAGCCCTGCGAAACTCTTGGAAGTGCACTTATCTATGTTGAGATTCAGGAAATACGATGAGCGCATGTAATATGCACCATCTTCGCATCCGTATATGTGCCAATTCTTCTCTCTATGCGGACTGGGGCTTAAGGCGACTTATGCTTCAAGAAGCTAAGTCTGAGCCTACGATGAGATCATAGCCTACGTGATGTTGGCGATTGCCATTGGGAAGGCAAATCGCAATAAGAAAGAAATTGAATGCTGAATCTGGATTTCGATACAGTTATCTCCTTGTCTGCATCCAGGTTAAGAAACACAATTGCCTAGAATAGGAATCCAGATCCTCTATCCGTACTTCCGTAGATGGCTTTAAAAAAGTGATGCCATTGACGTAAGGCAGAAACAAAAATCCACACCGGCAATTTCCAAATGTGTGACTGTGTCCCGACAGCGCCCGTTTTCTGTTGAATCATCATGGATCTGATTGGCGGATATTCAGATCACGGGAGTTGCCGGGGGCAAGGCCGGCCGCATCAATAATCTACAAATTCCGCCGCAAGTTTTTCTCCCCTGCCAGCTTGCTCCGTTTCTCCCCAAATTGATTCTCCAGACTTTTTTTGGATTCCTCTGTATTCCAATTCACCTTGTACAAAAACATTTTCAATCTCATAATCTTCATTCAAATCCACCTGTACATTCAAAATGGGCAAGGACGAAGGTTTCGCTCCTGGTAAGCTTACCTTACTGTTCCCTTTTCGCGCGGTTTCCTTGTTTTACTCTCATTGGAACCTGCCGTCATTCACTGCGACTGCGGCATCCTCTCGTATGTTCGCTTCAGAAGACGTCCAGTGAATGATGGCTGGATCTGAGTGGGAGAAGAGTGATCCTACTCCCCAGGCCTCTTCTCAACCACAACATTCACTCTGGTAGCAAGGATCAGCTGGTATCGCAATCGTTGCGTCTCGTCGTTACACTCCAAACATCTCTCAACCCGGTGTCTACCATTTCCACGAGCACACCCCAAGCAGAATGACGAGCTTCGATACCTTCTGTCTCCTCACTACCATTGACATGCGCGAAGCCGAACTTGAAGCGGCGGAAAAGGCCAAACAGATGGCTAACATGATCGCGACTCCAGGTGACGCTAAGAAGGGTGCCAAGCTCTTCCAGGTGAGTACAGAACAACGGCCATAGTATCTACTTGGATAGCGACTAAGATGCTCGCTCTAGACCCGTTGCGCTCAGTGCCACACTGTCGAGTCTGGCGGTGCCCACAAGGTCGGCCCCAACCTCCACGGTCTCTTCGGCCGCAAGACCGGTTCCGCCGAGGGCTACGCCTACACCGACGCCAACAAGCAGGCCGGTGTTACCTGGGACGAGAACACTCTGGTATGTATTATCATTTTCCACACTTGCTCGATATGAGCCATGCTAATGCGCCTCTGCAGTTCTCCTACCTTGAGAACCCCAAGAAGTTCATCCCCGGTACCAAGATGGCCTTCGGTGGTCTGAAGAAGGGCAAGGAGAGGAACGACCTGATCACGTATGTTCTTTTGCCGAAGACTCACTCTGCCATGGTTGGCATTGCAGCGCTAACTGTTTCCCCCTTTACAGCTACCTCAAGGAGAACTGCTAAACATGTTCACCCTGAAAAGTCACTTGTCTCTTCGATCTTGTCCGGGGAACTTTGTCGCGCCGATCCTCCTGTGGTAAAAGCAGATGCACGGCAGTTCAACGGACAGGGCATGTACTATACTACAACCTTGTTATAAACGCAATAGACCTGATATTTTCTGTGTGCTGGAACATGGCGGATATCATAGAGTCCTGGCGTGCGGAATTGTCTATTATCCTTTTCCGATGGTTATGTCTTTACTTCGGATTTTGTGTACCATGGTTAACGCTAGGTCGACCGACCATAATGAATTAAGAGATCTCCTCTCATGACCCTGCTTCTTGCTGTGTGTTTTACCTCAGACTGTCGGCCCACGTGCGTCATCGCTCGTCACGTGTTGGTGTAGGCGCCTGCTGACAAGGTGAATTTGTGCCTTGCTGCCTGAAGGAAGTTACCCATCCATCTTCTGACTCTCTTGTCGTCCCCAAGCCTGTTGATGATTCGTGGATATTGACACCTAGTTTCAGGTATACTCTTAGCTTCAGCGACATTGAGTGGAGTCGAGTCCGTCGTCTTCCAAGCTCGTCTTGCTGTTCGCCTGTCTACGGTTTGCGACTCTCCTCGCCAATACAACGGCCATCTGGGTGGACGATCCCTGCAGCCATCATCAGTCATTGCTCCCTGATTGGTCCGGTACGCAGGCCACGCTGTTCGTCTGGTCTAGCTCTGAGGATGTCCTGCTAGGTACATCCACTCATGCCGTGGACTTTAGACTAAAACGTTCACGATTGATACCTACCTTATGATGTTGCTAGACTGGAGACTACTATGGCGCTGTACGGTACAGTACAGCTGGAACCATGGGCACATGACACCCGACTGGCCGGTTTGATTGGTCCAGCCACCGTCTGCGCCCCCTCATCCTCGTGATGGACCAATCAGCACGAGGCTAAGATGCCCCCTTCCCCCTCCCTTTGGGTATGGTACCTGTACCTAAGGTACCCGTACGAAGTTACCAGTGCAGTTACCAGCAGCTTATCAGCGTTGATAAACTCGGGTACATCTGCCAGGAGCAGCAGCATATCTGGGATCGGATTCCCCCTCTTGTAACTTATCTAGGGTAGACCGCGATCAAAGTCTTGCAGGCATACATTCCATACCAGAGATTTATCCATTCTTGTTGGCTGAAGTCCATCAGCGCGTCTTCACGTCTACTGCTAACTAACGTGGGTGCTTCTACATCTTACAGAACTGAATTTCCCGTGGAATGTGCTGGTCCGTTTGATGCAAGCGCCTCCTGTTTGTATGTACCTCCCGGGCCACCTACAGTACTTTGTCCCAGGCATCGACAGGCCAGTGAGTGACTTGTCGCTCTACAGTTAGTCAGAATTAGCTATTCGGGTTTCGGGTCCTCAGGCATCAAGGCTCCCCCCTCCCTCCAACTGAATCTCGCGCAGCGCATTCCCATGTCTTGCATCGTCCCATTGCTGCTTCTTGCATTCGACTTGCTAAACTCTTTGCTTCTTATCCGAACTTTTGATTCTTTGCCTCGTCGTTTATTTCCGACAGCACATAGATCAGATCTCACCGGATCTTAGCGCGCTTGCGACTAACCCCTCCTTCAAGCTTTCTACCAATCCATCGCTGTCTCAGAGCTGCACCTCGAGTTGTCGCTTTGACAGCGCACTGACTGAAGTGGCTTTACAACTTCGCTTTAGATTGTGCGCAACGCCGTCCATCATGCTGGACGAGCTGGATAACATGTTTGATGACCATCCGTCGCTGGATGCGTCGCTAGAGGACTTTGAGAACAACAGCAATGCGCATCGCTCTCCCGTATTCGGCCTCCCCTCACAGCATTCCGGGTTTCGTTCAGAGGAGTCGGAAGGTGAGGAAGAGGATACCACTCCGAACGGTGAGCGTTGGTCGCCTCCGGGCTTTCGCAGATATGATTACGTTCAAGGTAGCGGGTGGTATCGCCATCAACCCTATCTGCGCAAAGGCGAGAACGATCGGCTGGTGCTGAAGCCGACCGTGGGAGTGAGCCCGTCGCTGTCGCGCGAGGCTAGCCCACAGTACGAAGATGCGATCGAGACCCCCCAAGTGAAGAAACGCAGCGAGTCGGCCGACACGGGCGATGCGACCATCGCTGCCAACGTACCGTTACCTGCGGATACGCCACTCAAGGGACGGTCCCCGAGTCCAGGTCCGGCGCTCAAGGCAAGCCCCGTGGATGAGGGATTGGACTTTGGGCCGGAGAATAACTTGAGCAATTGTAGGCTTTATCTTGGTTTGCACCCTTGACCAGCAAGCTGGCGCGGGATACTAATAGGTGGACCTTTTCTCAAGATATCCGGTTTGCTGTGCGCGCAGAAGTCCAGCATCGTGAACCATTTGTCGCATTCTTTAGTTACTTGCGATCCAAGTTCGACAAGATCACTAGTTCCAAATCCAACACCACACTGTCCATCCTAATTGCGTTTCTGTCCATCGCATTCATGCGCGCATTGTTCTTACCTAGTTTCCCTCAATCGATTCCGGATCTGGTGAAATTGTCAAGCTTTGCGCGATCCTTTGAGCCTCTCATATACTACTCGGAGAATGGAGTACAGCAGATCGGGACGTTGCAGGAGACCGGTGTGGCTGTCTGGGATCTGAGTGAATCCGTCCGCGGTACCAATATGACCAGCGCACCGATCATTGTGCGCCAGCTAGATGAACTGTCTGAGTCGCTGAAAACATTGTCGCTGGAACTGACGCGCTTTTTCGCCAATGTCGACTCCGACGTCGACTCGATTCTGATAGTCATGGACTGGGCCAAGAGAGAACTGGAGACTTTATCGTCGCAACCTCCAAGTTCTCTGCCATCCATTGTCCTCGACAACGTGCATGATCTCTTATCACGGCTGGGTACGCTGGAGCGCCTGTCCGCTCCTAACGGTGAGGCGAGTAGCAGCCAGCTGACGACCACCCCAACCACATTCGGTCTCGTCGTGACGGCCGTGCTGGGTCAGACTTCCGCCCAGCGGACACGGGCCACTCTCACGCGAACCTTCACGGAGTTCCTATCTGTCCTTGAAGAGTCGATCAATAGCGAATTGACCCATTCAACTGCGCTATTTGCGCTCTTCGAATCCATAGATCGCCAGTTTCTCAATCTGCAGCGTACCGTTGTGCGCGAGTCGGATGCCCAAGAACGTGCCGAGGGAGAGATGCTGAGCTCCCTGTGGACGCGAGTCCTCGGTCCTGACGCCGCTATGGTTCGCAAGTATGAGAAGAACAAGCGCCTGTTGGCCAATGTGCGCAGCCGCACTGTGGCCAACAAGCATCTACTGATGGATCACCGCGGCCGTCTTCTGACACTCAAGGTCAACTTGGAGACCCTGCGACGAAAACTGGTCAGTCCACTTGTCCGCCGAAACGACTCTGTAAGCTTTGTCGGCGCTGTCGAGGGAGGCAGCGGTCGCAGTCACGGACGGATGCTGGGGCCAGTTGAAGCGGTCATCGAAGGCCAGATCCGCGGGCTGGAGGGTACCTACGAGTACCTCCGCTCCGTCCGAGAAAAACAAAAGGCCAAACTCATGGAAATGGTATATGGAGCCGGGCGCAAAATCCCATCACCTTCCATGTTACCAGACGGATCGGACGATCTAGGGTCAGATACCATCGAAGGGGTCTGAACGCCACCAGAGGAGGGTTGCAAGGGGGTGACCGTTAGCCCCCGTTCACAACATACATCTTACGTCTGTTGTTCTCTTCTCCTCCTTTGGTTTAGTCCTTTAGTCATCACGGCGTTTCATCCCCTCGCTGCAGGCAATTCACTCGGCGTTCTCGGTCGATTTCTCCCTAGACATGGGGCGTCATCATGGTATCTGGTCTGGGTTGGCTTCCGTCCACGAGTTCGATAAACTCGTCTCTTCTTTTTTTAACTCCCATTTCCCGGCGAAACTGAGGTCAAAAGCAGAATAGACGAGTGGTCTTTTTGTTTTACTTCTTTTCTGTGTTTTGTTGGATATGGAAAGGGCTGGTGTTCTGTGATTCCGTTCTTTCAGGATACATACAGCAGGTAAGGAAGGAAGGTGCAAGATGGCGCTTATATTGGTTTTTGTCTTTTCTGCGGTCTTTTTTATATATCGTGATGCACTCTCTCATTAGCATGTACGAGGCATTTACAACTCAATTTACAAGGTACTCCCATCACTTCTTCATGTTCGCGGTCTAGATGATAATTTCCGAGATTTCATTTTCGCAGCAAGATGTACAAGTATTGTTCAGATCCAAAAGAAGATCCCACCGACGAAAGAGAATAGATGAATCGAGAAATATCGACAGAAGTGAATCAATCAAGTTATGGTATGACCTGTGTTGGAGGAAGAAATCCGATGAAATTGAAATTGCGCCTCGTAAAAACCAGACAAAACCCCATAGAACTCCGTTTCGGATGCTTGCGTAGGCTACAGAGAAGTCGAAGTCGCTTCCCCTCGCTGGCTCCTCCCGCCCAATTCACTTTTCATGTTCATTTTCGGTTTGGTTTTAGTTTTCGACTCGGGAAGATTGAAAAGGTCTACAGCCTAAAAGCCGTACCCACCGCCGCCGTACGGTGTCGCACCGTAGGGAGTTGCCGCGCTGGCTCCCCAGGCACTCGTGCCGCCGTTGGCGTATGCAGTGAACCCTCCGTCCATGCCCTCTGGCGGCTCGTAGGCGTCGGGACTGCGGACGCCCATCATGTCCTCGTCTTCGGGAAGGCCGTTGCGGCCGCCGTTGCCGGCGCCGGAGAGGGAGGAGATGACGGTGGCGAGTTTACGTTGGAGGACGATGATGCCTTGCTGGATAATCATGTCCGGGTCGAGGTTGCCGACGCTTTCGACGTCGATGTAGAAATTGTTTGGTTGCGCGTCGTAGTCGAAGGGTTGGTCGGGGGGCGCGGCGTGTTCCCAGGCGGCGTTTGCGGAGACCGGCCTGGGTGAATCATTAGCGACTGCTTTTGCAGCGTAAAACTAAACAAGTGCAGAAGAGAACGA